TGCAATTAGTCTAGGGCATATCCTGGGGGTGTGGTCTTGGCTCCAACACTAGAAGCACTGAAGAAGCATTTCTAATGGTTAGCGGCAACTTTCCGTCTTTCACCGCATTATCGGTCGAGTGACTTGCCTTTTCGGGCGCAAGTGCTGACCATGCAACATTGATGAACTGACTCTGCTGTTGGATTGATAGAACTAATCAGGCCAATATCAACTACGCAGCTTCAGGTTACAGACGACATGGATGGTTGTATGTTCTGCAATCTCATACTCATCTGGGCAAGCTGAACCGATGCCCCGGCTCTGCTGGTCCCCTACCCCTTGTCAAGCGCCATCCGTTTGTTTCATCCATGTCTCAACCCTCGAATACCTCGGCTGCGTTTTACCGAACCTAATTCGAGTCAAGTGAGGCGCTTGTATCCACCAGGTATTCTCCCGAGGACTGCGCGTGTACGCTATAAAGTATATACCGCTTTTCGGAGTATTGCTGCCAGCCGCACTCTGATTACTGAGCATTCCTACAGCACGTAGCAGTCGCCTTACAGCCGCTACTCTAATCAGGCACCTGCATTCTGGGATGACTGGGGGACACAAGTGACGGATCCCATACATGGTAGATTATGTACATGAATTAGTAGTACTCCCTTACGTACATGGTACTACTCACAGCACATGATGCCTACCAAACAACCCCGGAGCTGAATCAATATCCTCAAATAATCTACGCATCGATGTCGTACAGTTGCGTAAGCTTACAAGAGTCATACAATCCCAGAAAGACCAATATATATAAGAAAGTACGTATTGTTCAGCAATAAATAGAACCAATTTGCCACCCTTGCATTTCCAAGTCCACGGTTCCTGGAATGCCACATGTGCTTTTCGTCCCTTGATGTGGATACCATGATCTATCCACCTTTACAACAACTAACGAACCACAACCCTTCCAACCTGTACCTGCCTCACGCAGATTATACTGCAGCAACCCATACGCATAATATCCACCCATCCACATACGAAAAGGGAGGGGGGGGGGAGCGAAGCCAGTATACAGCATACGTAAATAGCACTCAGAAATTGGTCAAGGCCATAAACAGCCAACCATATACAGTAACTATGCACTAAACTACTTACTACGTACTTGAGTAAATAAGCAGGTGCATTCCGACGTTTCCTTCCCTCCCTCCCCCCCGGACTCCATTCCGTAAAGTTAGGCTTACACAGCATACGAAAGTCAATGTACATGTAACATGATGCATGGGGGGAGGGTAGTTAATCCTCATCAGGACATATCAGATCAGCAGGTACAAGGCGCTAAGCAGAGTGACTAAAAGTGAGAGGCGCAGGAGATCTTCGCCATCGTTTCGAAATCACCCAATGCTAGAGGCGTATTCGTAGTCCTGTGACCTTCTTGCCAAGATGGAATTGACTTTCTGGGTAGTTACTGAAGTTTAAGGGGAGGGGGTGCAGCGATAAATAAGTACTGTATGTAGTACTAGTGAACGTGATGACTGAGGGCGGGTGTTTGATGGTTGCCAGTCGGATATATCTCCGATGTAGTATTCTGTCTTCAATACTTTGTCCTCCGCAGTAAGTATGTATGATCCTTGCCACTGTGGTGGATTGCGTATCCCACAGTCGTCGTAACATTCGACGAGTAACGATCGATCACAGCGATGGGCGGAGCGACAGCATAGTACGTACGGAGACTATGCCTTGATTGGAACCGCGATTGTGGGTGTGCTCGACGCGAGAGACCAAACGGCGTTTGCTAACTACTCATAAGTTAGTTAGCTAGTTAGTTAACGACAGACAGGTGGCTGACTTCTCAGCATTGATCTACCCCCCCCCCCTCCATCAACCGGGTCGTTTAAGTTCTTCTAGAAACCCAGAAAATGTGAGCATTTGCAAGACTAGGTTCAACTTCGGTGGGGCTCTTGTTCAGTATGTAAAGTAAGATTACGCTAGTCTGTTCGACGTTTGTAATGAATGGGGTGAGAAGGAGGTTGCCCGGTAAGGCGACGGCAAAGGATCTATTCCGTTTTACCGCGTATACCGCCCATCGTAACAGCACCTCAGGGATTGGCTGTCAGAAGTTCAGAACAGCAAGGTCCGCACCGCCACTACTAGTAGTACTATCTACTAAGCAACGACTTGACCGCCCTCCGTCCCGCCACGCTGGAACTGCCGCCAACGCCACTGTCAGTGCAAACTTTACAAACTGCACCCCTCGAAATTTTTGCCCGCATTAGATTGATTGATTGCGGAGATTCTCGAGGACCGACCGGCATCTTTTCGAATTCGGAAAGGGTCTGGATTATACGACGCGCTGGTCCTAGCCCAATTGTCGCATTGCGCAGTTCAGCTTTTTCGGTGACCAAATAACGTCGTTTTTTATTTTTTTCTTTCGAGGAAAGCGACTGTTCACAATGGAGCCGACAACCGCTCAGGAACAGCTGCCCGCTCCGGAGGTTAATGCGCCCAAGCGTGAGCCTGAGAATGGCGATGCCGCTGCAGACCAGGCCCAGGAGCCACCCTCGAAGAAGGCCAGACTCGATGATTCGGCGGATTCTAATGGGCAAACGGCTGATGCGCCCGCCCCGCGCATGAAGGGCGTTGCTCCTATCAAGCCTGAGTATGTGGTGACCAAAATTGTATGCGATGCGCGCGCTCCATCCTAACTGACTTTTCCTGCTAGGTTCATTCTCGACCAACAACCCACAAGAGGCCAGAGAAATCCCGATGACAACGCAGACGATGCCGCGGAAGCTGCGCACCACGATGGACGCGCCGATGAGCAGAACGGGAAGAAGAACAAGAAGAAGAAGACTGGTCAGAATACGAACCGCACGTTCGGTCGATCCGAGGATGCGAAGGGATTGTGTTCTAGTGTGAACTTCAGGCCTGAGTTCTCTCCTGCCGAGTGCACTTTTGGTGAGAAGTGTCGGTACGAGCATGACCTGCGGAAATACTTGAAGGAGCACAAGCGGGAAGATCTTACGACGTTCAATGGCGTATGTCCTGTCTGGGATATCAACGGAAAGTGCTTCGTGGGCTGGAAATGTCGCTTTGTCGGTTCACACTCCGAGGAGCGCGAAACGGCCGATGGGAGGAAAGAGTTGGTTCTTATTGAGGATGAGGAGCGCAAGAAGAAGGTTCAGCGGCTTGTTCCGTTTGCTGGAGAGGACGGGGCGGTCAATGTTGCTTCGATGGAGGATAAGATCGCTTTGGCAAGGAGAAAGATGGATTTCCCGAGAGCTGGACCGTACAGTAATTGGTTGGAAAACACATCTAGAACCATTGAGAGGGAGCTCCACAAGCGCCATCGTGCTGCGCCTGTAGGAGCTGAGACCAAGGATACCGAAACTAAGGATGCCGAGAAGAAGGATGCAGAGACCAAGGATGCCGAGAAGAAGGAGGAAAAGGAGGAAAACCGAGCTCTCTACGTTGAGCCGCCATTCATGCCATCGGAGAAGCGCCGACTGTACTTCGGACCCGAGACACCGGCACTGGCGCCTTTGACTACCCAGGGCAACATGCCTTTCCGAAGACTTTGCGTTGAGCTTGGCGCACAATTCACCTATTCTGAGATGGCAATGAGCTTGCCCTTGATCCAGGGTAACAAGTCGGAGTGGGCCTTGATGCGAGCCCACGAGTCGGAGATGCTCCCTCCCACGATGCTGCCCGGGGCAGACATCGTACAGGGTTATGATAACTCCAAGGACATGAAGTTCGGTGCTCAAATCGCAGCAAATAAGCCCTGGCAAGCTTTCAAGGCTACAGAGGCACTGGCTAAAGTCACTCCCAACCTGCGCGTCATCGATCTGAACTGTGGCTGCCCTATTGACCTCGTCTTCAAGGATGGTGCTGGCTCTGCTCTTTTGGAGCACCCGTCGAAGCTCGAGAAGATCATTCGTGGCATGAACACTGTTTCGGATCAGATTCCTATCACGGTCAAGATTCGTATGGGAACGAAGGACAACAATCCGAATGCTCTGAAACTGACGGAGCGTTTGCTGCTTGGAGGCTATGAAACCAGTCTGCTCCATCACGACGGCGCCGCAGGTGCAGCGGCTATTACTCTTCACGGTCGTAGCAGACAGCAGCGTTACACCAGACAAGCTGATTGGGAATACATCTCCGAATGTGCCGCCTTGATCAAGCGCTTGAACGAGAAGACTGACGCGGTGACGGATACCATCCGGGAGCCTGATGCCCGGACCCAGCCAAACGGTGGCAAGGTTTACTTCCTTGGCAACGGCGACTGCTACTCTCATGTTGACTATGATAACCACATCAACAATGCTGGTGTTGATGCTGTTATGCTTGGTCGTGGTCCTTTGATCAAGCCTTGGCTCTTCGAGGAAATCCAGGCGGGCCAGTACCTTGACAAGTCCGCTACGGAACGGTTGGCAATGATTGAGAAGTTCTGTAAGTATGGTCTGGAGGCATGGGGATCCGATGAGCACGGTGTCGGTACGACTAGACGCTTCTTGATGGAATGGCTGAGCTTCACTCGTCGCTATGTACCCATCGGGTTACTCGAGCATCTTCCCCCCTACATCAACGACCGGCCCCCGGCTTTCAGAGGCCGGAATGAGCTTGAGACACTGCTGGCCAGTGCCAACTACAAGGATTGGCTCAAGATCTCGTAAGTACCTTCCTTTAAAATATTCGGACTAAATTTTAACAACCTTCTAGGGAGATGTTCCTCGGACCGGCTCATAAGGACTTCAAGTTCGAGCCCAAGCACAAGTCCAACTCGTATGACGAAGCGGAGGGTTAAGCACATGCTTTCTAGATTAGGATTAACGCATATAGATGATGTACATACCACAGCTAGCAATCATATGCAGTCAATGAGAACTAGATACATACTTTAGATAAACCCTGTTGCTATGACGTAGACGGCAGGCTGAGCCGCGGCCGACAGAGTCACGTGCACGATCACAGCTCCGGGCGGTAATGACGTCTTCCTCTCACCAGAAACTGCAAAAAGACCACCTCATCTCCTGAACTGCCTAACCTTCCTGCTCTGTTCTGGCACTGTTCATGCCAGTATACTAGCTAAAAGAACTTATTCGACAAACATTGTTCGCTCTACGCCTGCTCGACCTTTCGGGTTTCTCAACTCTTCTTGCGTGTGACCGTGTACTTTTGTTTATCTTCGCAAAACAAACCCCACAACCACAGCTGGATTTCCAGCCAAACTTGCATATTGAAGCATCTGTCGGAAGGTTACCTGAATTACAATCTTAGGCAAAATGACTCTCTACTACAGCCTTGTACGTACCGTCATTTGTTGTTAACTATCCTCGCAATGGCATGGAATTCGGGATTGTTGCAGCCTGCAGCCTGCAGCCCCTGACCCGCGCACTCCCGGACCATCAGATAATGTGTCGCATCAATATTTGCTTACAACATGATTATAGGTTTTCTGCCTGTTGGTGTTTGAGATGGCGGTCTTCATGGGCCTCATCATCCCTCTTCCATTCACCGTGAAGAGGAAGCTCTTCGCTTTCATTTCGGAAAGTCCGATAGTAGCTAAATTACAATATGGATTAAAGGTAAGTAACTCGGCATTGCCCTGCATTTGCAAATACTTATTGAGCTATAGATCACATTCATCTTTATCCTTATCCTCTTCATCGATAGCGTCAACCGCGTATACCGTGTGCAGCTGGAGCTGGCTTCTTTCGGCAAAGAGGGGGGCACCATGGGGTATGCTTCCGACGGTCCACACCCTTTTTAGCATTGCACTGAAACAATTACTGACCTAGCTTTCGCCACAGAGCCGCCGCTCTCGGTACCGATCGTATGGAAGTCCAGGCCCGCAAGTTCTACTCGCAGCGCAACATGTACCTCTGTGGATTCACCCTCTTCCTGTCTCTTATCCTCAACCGCACTTACACCATGATCCTTGATGTCCTCCGTCTTGAGGACAGAGTCAGACTCCTCGAGGGTGACAAGAAGGCTGGCGGTAAGGACTCCGCTCGTCTTGCACAGGCCGGTGAGATTGGCGAAATCGGCCGTCTCAAGGAGGAGCTCGCAGCCAAGGACCGTGACATTGAGACCCTGAAGAAGCAGTGTGAGGGTCTCACCCGCGAGTACCACAAGCTTGGTGACGAGGTGTCTGGTGAGAAGGGTGAGGCTCCCAAGAAGGACCAGTAGACGACGCTTGGGTGTGCCGCGAGGAAATACAATCGTCAGCCTGCTAGGCCAGTCGGGACTGTGAGTTGATCGCTTTTTGGGGCTGATTGATAGAACATCCCGCTGTCCGCAAGCTACTCTTTCATGTGCATTTCGGTTACCATATCTTTCGGGTTTGGATGAGGCGGAATGTTGACAACGACCACCTGGTGGTCGGATGAACCAGCTGTTATTTGAGCGCATTGGTGGAGTGAATCATACTGGTGCAATTCTCGGGGAAGAAGTTGTCATTGCAAAACTTGAGATCATCTGGGTTATCTGGGTTACAACTTACAATGGAGCAAAATTCCACTGTCCATGTCGGATTGTAGGCTTTAGGTAAACAGAAGAGCAGTACATCATGGTGAATACGATCGTATACCACAATATGCAAAAAATACAGTAGTAATCAGCTCTCAGGTCAGAGCCCAATGTAGAAAGAGGGACCAGCCATCACGTCGAAGCACCTGCGCGCAGCTCCATCATTCTTCTATGACCAACACCGCAGCTTCCTCGAGACAACAACCAAACACAGACCTCAAACAATCCGATCAACGCTCAAGTACAATGATCCAGAGCCCAATCTTCAATCTACTCGCTTCAAGAAAGTTACATACCATTCCTCCTCTCCTTGAGAAGCAAAAACAGCATTTACTGTGCCCCCGAGATCATTTGCAACAACCCCCCCACCGACGCCCCTCACAGTGAAATAATCACGGCAATCGAATGAGTCCCATCTTACGATGAACGACAAGTGCTCTATTTACATCGTACAATAACTACAAGTTAAGTCATTAATCCCTCAACGTTCACCTCAAATTCCATCAGCTAACCTTCTCTATACCCTAGAGAGAAGTGAGGTAGATACCAGCTGACAGACGCCCCCACTCACTAAGGCATGAATCGCTGACGAGAGATGAAGAGAAAGACAATAAATGAATGGAGTGAGCAAGCGAGGGCGTGAAGAAAATCCACTGGTTCCCGCCCTACTCTTCCCGCCTGGGGCCGTTCCGAGGTGAGTGGGCCTGTCACAGGATCATGAGGTTTGGTTTGGTCTGCAGAGTTCGGTTGGGGTTCATGTCAGCTAACTTGGCATGACCAGGTAACTATATGTCTTAGACTAAGGATTGGAGTATTGGGTCTGTAGCCAATGTCGGCTGTCTGTTTCATTCGCTTCATGAGAGATTGGCTAGCTATGGTTTTGGTGTACTTTTCATGGGGCTGGTGGTCATCAGGTCTCCTTGTGTGGAACCTGGATTTCGCTTGGCTGCCACTACCAGGTATAAGGTAGTAGTGAGAATTACTTATATTGACTGGGCTACGTCACAAGAAAACAAGGGGGTGGCGATAGCGCAGTCTGTTGTTAAGATGATTGGCAGGTATGACAGAGATGCGCGTGGGGTCTGACAGGAAGGATTTGTGCCAGGAACGCTTTTCCCGCAAGCGATGAGGTTTGTAGCTACATTGCCCCTGAAGGAAGTTTAGGCATGATTCTTCAATCGCTAGGGAGGAGAGATGCATGCGCTAATTTGGATATAAAACACTGCAGTCTTAGTGCCTGTTTCTGACAAATCGGTGGGCTCGAGGCGGTCTGGAGCACACGGTAGGACTCAAATAGTCGATCAAACCCTAAATCCTCACGGGTTTAGGCCAATGCGAGTTGACAATGTTCTTCCGCGGCCCATATCTACAGCGCAACTAGACCAGGAATGTCCAGAAACTAGGATAGACGAGCTCCTCCTCGAATATCCGCCGCACCTGTGCGAGCACAAATCGTTCCACCTTGCCGACGTTCTTGAGGACTTGCTTGCCATCTTCTTTCCGACCAATCTCACTTTCAACTCGGATTTCTTGCAGCAGACCACCTTGCCGCTTTGCAGAGACGGTCGCATCCCCACCAGAACGTGAATACTCGGCTTGAGCACCTACATCCGGCTGATCAGACCCAATCAGCGCGTCCGCGTCTTCAGATGACAGGAAGCAGAAGTGGACCCGCTTGCGGATGTACGCGACCACTGCAACACCATCAAACGTGATCCCTGTAACATTTAGTTTCAAGGGTAGTCCAACGAAACTGGGCATGGGATAGTCCAGAAGAATTTCCGCTGTTAATGACAGCCGCACATCACCCGCGTATTTGGCGTGACACAGTACTTGGAAATCCTCGGGCCGGCGCTCTCTCATTCGAGGAAATCGCAGAGGCTCTTCCGAAGTAGGGTCATCTAAATGCCCATGCTCTTCGGGGTGTGATCCATGGTCAGGACCGCCTGTTCCATCACCATTGTTCTTATTGGACCCGGACGGATGAGAAGGTAACGTGCTGGATGTTGATGGTCGCGACGTCGGATTACTGCTGTCAATGTCGGCTTCCGGACGCGATTGGTGGGCAGTAAAAATTGGAGGCGGTGGACGCCCCCTATTGCCAGGGCCCATCATCCCAGAATCATTCCATCCGCCTGCGAACGGGGATCCGCCTGCAACTGCAGCAAGGGGTGTCTGCGTTCCTGAAAGTCCACCAAGTGACATCAGATGGTAACCTAGGGTCGATGTACCTCCGGGTATACCAGGAGTGCCGGAGCGGAAATGCGGGTTGAGATGGTCGCTAAGAGCTATGGGAGACCGCAAGGCCGAGGGTTGAAAGCCTTCGGTGAAAGGATCACGCAGCGATTGATTTATCGCATTGTCGTCGCGGAAAGAAGATTCATTGAGTTCTGGATGAGTCCCATGCCACGGCGAACCGTGCCCGGAGACAAGCCCCTCGGAGACATCAGACGCTTCATCATCTTCATCTTCTTCATAGAAGTCGGCGAACGGCTCGCAAAGGTCTTTGATCTCGAGCTCAGGCGGAATCGTCCCGAAGTCGAAAGAATGAACTTGCACTGATCGGATAAAGCGTGGCAGAGCAACCTGCTGGAACTTGTCATGAATGAAAGAGCGGATGCGCTCGGCCAGAGCCTCTCCGTCGGGACCGGAGGTCGCGGCGCCCCAGTCAACTTCTATGGACATTACATGTGCAAAACGGCCTTCTATCCGTGGGTGATGCCAGAGAGAAAGAGAAAAAAAGGATTCGGAAATTGATTCTAGAACCCTGGAAGAGAATCTGAAACAAAGCGAACACCAGGCCGATTAGCTTTTCCAAACCATTCTTGTCGGTGACGTCGAGAATCGGAGAGTCGGAGTTGGCGCTTGTTTTTGTCGCGCTTCGGCGGTTCTCGCAGCTGGTGCGGGGTCACGTGAGATCACGACAACGTGACCGCCATCAATGCCCCAACGACAATCCAATGCTGCCACAATGCCTTCTTTTGGCCTCCAACGGTCACAATGGAGCCTGACAGTGACCAGACTTGAATGCTGGCTTTCCTAGGATTTACAAATGGCCCTGGTACAAGTTTTGGTTGGCCTGAGCGGCGCAGTCGATGCCCACACCGCTTTAGGTTTACTGTCCCAGCATTCTGGTTCCCCAGGTCCCTCCCGCCCATCGCCGGTCTAAGGGTGATGGCACGGCTCTGCGGCGCTGTTCTGAGCATTACTCAAGCGGTGTACACTGGCAGCGCAGGCCTGCTGCTCCAGGGGTCGCTCTGGGGCCGCCGTACAACAATACTGTGACCAACAAGTGCTATTCATCGGCGCGGCTCGATCACGACTGAGCTAGGCTATCTGGGACCCAACACTGGCGAGTCTAGTACCAGCTACTATTGGCCTACTAAAGGACTTTCCCCTCTATAGAAGGGATGAACAGGTAAACCTGGCTTGCTAATGACCCCTCTCTTGTAACTTTTTAAACTTTTACCCCCGGTATCTGCCTTGAAGCCTGACCAGGTTTAACAACCTGTTATTTCACACCCCCCAGCCGATCCAAGTGCCGTATGCCCGGGTTTCTCTCAGAAACAGAGCAGCCGATAACACATGAAGACGCGAAGGGGGTACGCCACACAACACTGATTCCTCATGTGGTCGGAACAATGCTCCAGAAACCGTACACCCCCATCACTTTGGCGCTGTGTTCTTCTTTTCTACGCCAGCGAAGCCGGAGAAAAAGAGGGGCACAGCTACACTGCATGCAAATTTTCAAGCATTGTCGTTGGACACTGCAACCCCGACCTAGCGCCTGGCAGGCCCCAGTTGCACTGGATTTTCAGAATCCCCGATATACGCGCGGAGTTCCTACCCTTACTGGCTCCGAAACCCCCCATCCATCGGCGAGACTCGTTGGCACCAGTCAGCATCTCTTGCCACCGGACAACTCGCGTCTGTGCCCCATTTTCTGCATCTGATTTGCTCGTTGGACATCAGGTGATAAAAAGCGTATGCGGTGCTAATGCAGCCGGTGATGTGCGGTGCTAATCAGGGTCGAGGAGAATTTTCTCGTTAGTTGGTCCCCCCCTCTCGTGTAGGGTAGGAGGACCCATTGGAGCCTATCTGCATTCCGCGTACGCACACACACAAAATCGCTGCGAGACTTTTTCCTCTATACACCTGATGATGAAAATCGTAGATGAAAATTTTGGTGCAAAATGGAAGAGGAAGGAGAATCAACAGCATCCTTCCCCAGTATCTCCGAGAGTATTCCGGGAATTTTCCTCAGCAATGACAATGGTTTGCGCGGCAAACGTAACCAGCGATGTGGAGGAATTCCCCATCCTGGTGACTCGCGCCACGAGGAAGTAGGGCGACAAAGGCAGCAGTGGTGGAGGATTTGTCACACCTAAGCGCCGTCAACCATGGTTCCATGAGCCGGATGGGTCTTGTCATAACCTACTAGTAGTCTAGTCGGCCCCTCCGAGTCAGTAGTTGGTTTTGGGTCCGACAGAATTGCCGCGCTGGTGTGAATCTCTTTTGTCTGTGTGTTCTCTCGTTCCTCGCATTGATCGTCTTCTGCCTTTTTCCCATGTGAAACCAAATCATGTAGATGGAGGTGAAAATGAATTGAATGAGGGGAAAAAAAGGAGGGTCTCGTGCAAATCAAACCATATGATCAAGTTGCACCACATACTACTCACACTCTATTATAGTAGTATGAGATTACTAACAAGTAGGTAAGTTAAGTTAGTTAGAATAATATAATTGAGGGTGGCACCAGCAAGGCATCCACATCTCGTGAACATCATCATCATCGTTACCATCAATAAATAGTAGTAGAAACTAAATAGTCCCAATACTAGAGAATATAGTACTACTATCTAACAGAAGTGGGTAAACACGAAAGTATCATCTGATGTACTACCTACTACGTAGTAGCTATAAATCACACCAATCTACTCAGATCCCAATATAAATATACTCAAATAAATAATATTGAAGAATAAAAAATGAGCGTCACATAAAGCCAAGAAGCGAACTAACTAACTACTTGGTAGTTACAAACAAACGACAACAACAACAACAGAGTTCCACACTTTACAGCAGAGCAAAGCACACACCCCAATGCAGCGCAATGCCAAGTTGCGAAAACTATCGAAGAGAGAGAGAGAGAGAGAGACAAGATGCCGCCGAGAAAAGAAAACAGGATGATGATGATGATGGAAATAATAAGCATGATGGGGTTAGTGTTCCCTCCTGATGATCGACATGTGCCTCCCGAAAATAATAAACGAATCGAATCAAATCAAATCAAAGAATAGATTGAAGTAACGGGAAGGAAGTGGTATGAAACGTAAAGGGAACAAAGAGAATAAGAAACAAAAAAACTAACGAACTGACTAACTTATGCAGATGATGCAAATCTGGGGTGTGTGCGGCGATGATGAAACAGAAAAATAGCAAAAAAGAAAGAAAACCGAAATAATCTCAATGACAACGACAGATGATGACGATAACGAGAACAGATGAAGAGACAAACAAACAGGATAATCAGGTGCGAGCGATGCCAATTCAAAACTTCAAATTGTCCTCCCTGGTGATTTTTTTTCTGATTTTTTTTTCTTTGCAATTCGCAACAGGCTAGTCGCGAACAAAGGGAACCAAAATATGAAATCGAAAACTGAAACTCAAAAAGGGAAAATAGGGGGAAAAAAAAGACGAAAAAAGAAACAGAAGATGCCAGATAACCGTCCGTCCCCATCTCAGATCCGGTTGTCACTTTTGTCTTAATATCCGCCCCCATTGTGTCTGCGCGCGAATATCTCCAGACAAGACACACACGAGGGCGGATATCGATAATGGGTAAAAAAAAAAATCATTGTCATCGAAACAACCCAGATCTGGATCTCTTCTTCCCCTTCCTTCCTCTCCTCATACATGCTTACTACCTTACATGCTGTTCAATATAGCTAGTAAGGTAGAGTAGCAATCAACCCTGGGGCCAGAAACCGTTAGTTCACGAACGTATCCCTTCCCTTTGTGGATGGATCTGGGGCTGGAAGTTAGGCGCGAGTGGATCTTCGGCAACTCACTAACCTGTGGCACCCACCCCCCGGAGGAGGAGGGGGAAAGGGCATAGCATGGAACTATCTAGCCACCGTGGTTAGGGCAGTTGTAGCCCTCTCGGCGGCGGATCTGGTGTCTGACGCCAGTGCAGGAGGTGCCTCGCTTGGCGCAGTAGACGACATCACCCTCAGCGACAGTGCAGCCGCAGTCGTACTTGAAGAAGTACTGAGAGCACATAGTGGCGGCGGGAGGAAGACTGGAGAAGGGACTTGAAACTGGTGGATTTGAAGAGTTTCGTAGAGATGAGCACTTAGAAAGCGCGGGAGTAGAAGTAAATAGGAAGTAGAAGATTGTGAGAAGAGATTGAAGTTTGAGAAGTTGTGGTCAGGCTGAGCTGAGCTAGCTGGATTGCTTTGCTTTGCTTGATTGCTTTGATGGATTGATGATGGTTCTGATTGTCCGATGGAGGAGTGCGAAGGGGGCTTTAAATAATTGAGGATGCAGTCTCCTGGACTACTGACCGGTAGTGGTGGTGGTAACAAGCGTTGGTACGTCCGTAGTAGGAGCAGTAAGTGTGGTTGTGGTGGTGGTGAGTCTCGAATCAGAATCCCAAATGATAAAGATGACTGCGGTTGACTGTGCCGCAACAACGCCAGTCTACGCCCACAATTGTTCAGTTGGCGTAGGGCCAGTTTGTGACTCAACCCGGCCAATCACGTTTAATGAAAATAATTTTTCTATGCAAAATTAAATGGCGGTTAAGTAAAAAAAATAAAATATTAAAATCATTTGTTGTGTTGTTGTGGCAGTGGTGGTAAGTTCGGGGGGGTTGTGGTGATCACATCGCAGCAAAAAGTGTCAAAAATGAATGGATGGATGACCGTCAGAAGAAGGTTAGGCAAGGAACGGGAAACTAACTACGGCTTGCATCTTGCTTTTTCTTCCTTTCTTTTCCCTGCACTCGGTTCTCTTTTCCCATTTTTTTGGGCTCAGCCCTCCCTCAACACGGACCAATAGAGCCGTTGAACCGGAGAATCAGTTGGTGATTCGATCTACATCACACTCGAATCATCCTTCCAAGTGAATTTTTTAATATAACAGTATCCCAACATATGATTCAGTCTGCATCTGCACCTCAATGCCTTTGGCTTTCCCCATGATGCTCCCCCTCCCTCCCAGCGGACTGGCGGCTATGCGAATCAGAAAGCCTGAAATCACCCCCATCTGGGATCAGCCTGGGAAGGCATCTTTTCCAAGATAGGAAAATGAACGTGTATCTGACTAGCATGGTCATGCATCGGCCGAAAGTGATGTGAGCCCCTCGAGGATGGTGGGGGGGTAAAGGAACGCATTAGACTTCCGCTGCTGCATCATGGGAAGGTTGACATCATCTTCACATCTACATGTCCTTCCTGCGGCAGGGAAAGACCCGTCAGGATATGCAGGCGCAAACCCAACAATTCAATTATCAAATCAGTCCCCGCAGACGACCAACAGTAGTTCGACTGCGAAGGGGGTCATGCTGCAGTCTAGAATGATTCCTGGACCAGAGCATCTGACGAATGCAAGACCAAAGAGGACCAGATCCATTCATCAAGGCGCACATCTGGCGACTGTTCTCTCGCTATCATGTGTCCTCGACACCGGATTGAACGGGAGTGGAGGAACCAGGATTGGCATGGCCACGGGCAGTCCAATATAATCGCGCCGATATCAGAGTTCGGGGAATCACCCCCACCAGCTTGGTCTGACCGTTTGGCACCTGGCGCTGTTTGGCTGGAGAAGGCTGCGCAGGATTAGTTGATCCATGAGCCACCTGCTCCTGTCAGGGGTCGCCGCAGTTCCCAAAAACGCATCCTTTCCCACGTCAAACATCATCCTGCTGCGGGTCGCTGGGATCAACAAGGTGTGTCAGAGTCCCGGAGCCGACATGCGGAAGCTAAAGAGATGAACATGCAAGAACTGCTGTGCCGTCACAGGCACGTTGGGTCATAGCTCTGACAGTGACCAATGTCTGAGCCCCAGAACCTTGACGCAGTTGGTGATATCAGTGACATCCACAAAGCCTGAACACAGAGCCTGACTGCCTTTCCCTCCTCTTGGCTCCAGTTGTTGGGAATAGCTCGGGGGCCAGAAGTTATGCGACATCAGCGCGAGCCAGCAACCGAGCGGTGCTTAGCTTAGTCTCCCACGGGACTGGGGGATTACGGCGTTGGTGTGATAGTGAGCTAGGTCTGTCTACCATGGCCGAGGCTTACTGGAGTAAATCGGCAGTGCCAGCCAGACCGTCTCCGCCTATCGATTTTCCATGATCAACCACCAGCAGCTAGGCTGAATGGGAAATGTCGGGCTGAGGCAGCGAGAACATGGAGTTCGCAAGGTCGGCACAGCACTTGCGGCGCTTTTACCATGGGCCTCTGCATGTTTCACTGAGCCCTTTCAGCCGCTGAGTTGCCGCGCCACTCAGGGCGATACGGCGCAGGGCCCGAAGGCGCTAAAACGGCGACGGTCGACAGGTTTCGACCAGCGGGCACGGCCATCTTTTAGCCGCCGTTGGCTCCCGGGAGGGGGAACGGCGCCGGTGATGGGACCGACGCGCGATGGTTCCTGGCCTGAACCTGGGTTTTGGCCTGTTCCTGAAGGGGGCTTGGTTTTCTAGTCGCTGTGGTTGATTCTTGCGCGCAGCTCATGTCAGCCACGTGATCCCGGGCTCGTTTGAGCCGCTTGGCTTGCTTGGCTTCATACTTCCTTTGACTTTTTTCCCCCTTCAGAGACTCCCTTCGTCTCGTTCTCACGCCTCGTTTTTATTCCAGGGAGGGGACCTGCTAGTCGCATTAAATTGTCCACTAGTCGGTCTTTTCAATTCAACCCTTTACCATGGAACCCTCCCCCGGACCACCATCTCCGCCCGTCGGGTGTTCCCAGCTTCCCGTTCCCTGAAGCTTCCGACTTCAACTCTGTGGTCTAGTCTTCTCCACGAGCAATGCTGTTTTCTAGCGGCTTCTTTGGCTTCTTCCAAGCAAGGGGGGAAAGATCCGGGTCATTTCAAATGAGAAGCAGATGTGGCTGCCCAGGTCAAGATTTCCCGAGGAAGGCAATTCTAGAAGACGATCTCCGAGGGGAAGCAAGAAGTTGCAGCTGCGGGAAACAACCATGGAATTCCGGGGGGTGGTCATGTGGCCTGGGGAACATAACCAGAAATCCACGGGGAAAGAATAGGAAGAAAGAAAAAAGAATGCGGCGACGACTTGGCAGGCCCGCTTCATTTTCCTCCCCAAGAATGAATTCAAAACTCACTATGTTCCTGACGTTGCCTCTTATCGCCTCTTTACTCCCACGTTCCTCAGAACTCGTCACGGGACGGTTCGGTCTCAATCAATAGTGTCTTGGCCATGGCTCTTGGTTGCTGATCATCCGAGGCTGGGTTCGGAGTCGTGGCGGTCCTGATGCTTGTGTCGGGGACCCCCAGGCCCAGCTCGCCCAACCAGATCGTCCACCGCATCCTGCTCGGGTATGACTATTGCCAGAGCCAAGATATGCAAAGGAAGGGGGGATTTTCAAGGATGACGTTCTCAGCCCCTCCTTTGTGATAGTCCGTTTCGCAGGCATGTGAATTACAGCGTGTCCCGGTCCACCGTCGGGTATGAGGAATAGGCAAGCCACTGCTTGTTCCTCCACTTATCTGCTTTCTGCAGCTGGGCTAGAATCGGTAGCTCGCCTGATCGACACCATCTCCGGTCAACCCCTCTTCCCTGCGATAATGGCTTGGCTGAGCTCTGCCATAGCTATATAAGGGTGGCCGATTCCAGCCGATGAAGTGCTCATCCATCCTCTTTCTTCCAAGCAACTCTGCAAGAAAAGCTCTCTCTCTCTCTCTACTTGATTCCAAGTCACTTCAAGACTCTACCATCACATCTACTTCCAAAGACTCCTTGTCCGACTCATCCATCAATCACCATGTACTCCTACACCCCCACCTCCAAGTTCCTTGTCCTGGCCCCTACCGAGACGGCTCCTCTCTCTACCTCGACACAGGTTCGTGAGCGCTCCAGCAGCCAGTCCTCTACGGCCAGCGGAACCACCCAGCGCCCTGGATTCAGCCGTCTCCCCAGCGGTTTCCTCTACCTGGGCGTCGACACTCGCGACGCCGCTTCGCCCAGCAACTAAGCTTCTGGCACGAGAAGCAGTTTCAATTCGACGAATCGCGCTGGACACGATTTCCTTGCCTCGCACCTCATCGTCTGAAGGGGACTAAAGTCTCACCCCGCAGACCGAAGGAAGATCACTACTAGTTCTTGTCACGGATATCTGACGTTATTGGACGAGCGACCATTCGGGGGAAGCGAAGTGCGGGGCCCGATGTTTTCTTTTTTTGGGTTGCAAGATTCATTGCTTTTGCTTTTACCAATATTACTCTACGCCAAGTCTACATCTCATGTTCATAGCCTCTTGCACAATCACAATGATACCATACTCCTTGCCTGGGCCGCGCTGCCCAGACAATCCTGAATGACTGCCAAGGGTCCATTGATATGTGCCAAGCATTGTGCCATCAGATAAACCGTAGTTCCTGTTGCACAGCCAAGCAATGATAGATTCTGCCGATCAACCCTTTTTGGACCTGCCAAGCCAGCGTGACCCCTTGAATGATTTGCCTTGTAGTCTACGGTGTAAGATAAGAAGGGGAAAAAAAGTAAACAGAGGAGCAGCTGAACCCTGAACCTAGTAGTAGTCCTGAGATTAGTTTAATTAAACATGGCTGCACACCGTACGGCGTACTCCGTCCATGCGTCGGAGTAAAAGGGCCCGACAGGGTTCCAGAGATAACTAGTGGCCATGGCAGCTAGCAGATATGCTATCTGGACCAGACCAGACCAGAACGGCGCGATCTCAGATCTAGCCCCAGCCCCAGCCCCAGCCCCCGGTGACAACTTGCAGTATGGATGTGCTGGTCACGGGGTCTGCACGGAACTGCAACTTGCCTCTCCGGATGCTGAGATACGTACATCCGCTGCTGCTGCTGCTGCTGCTGCTGCTGCTGCTGCTGCTGCACCCAACTCAGCCCAACTCCCACACCACTCGCTATGAAGTAGGTTTACTTCTTATTACTGACCTTCTTTCTATTTTTTTTTTTTCCTTGGTTTGTTCATCTATCTATACGATGATTCCACCAATGCTATATTCCTATTACCAAATCGAGTAAACTTACGCACGCACCCATCTAAGCATAATAGCCATCTACTATAGTAATATTGATAACGAGTTATATCATATGTCTAATGGTGATACACACCTTCAATGGCCTTATCATCTCACTGACCACCCCCTTCCTTCTCTAACCGAGCCCACACCTACATACATACTACATACACATTACAGAAACAAATGCATCCGGATATGCATGTCCGCGTACGTCTGCACACCGGACTTGGCTGTCCATGACACATACTACTGACATACTTGGATATTCCAGTCTACCTTGGGGGTAGTACTCCATGATTGGAAGAGCTGATGTTTACGAGACTACTATGCTACGGAGTAAATAACCCTTTTATCCGACCTACGACCCTCCCCTTCCCCTCGGATTTAGTTGTCATGATGCAGGATGATGGACAAATGGGTGGGTGAATGGATGGACGGACAGTGTTTCACCGAGACGATCATCAATTACTTGCTTTTCTTCCTGATTCTTCTTGATTCGTTTGCTTTCCTCCTGTAGAAAATTTCCGGTCGGTGAAGGCAGCTAACTAACTATTGATGAGAGGATATGACATAAGAAATAAGTAGGTTTCTTTTTCTAGTAGTGCTGTCGTTTTGCAGTGGATGGTGTGGTGGGGGGAAGGGTAAATAATGCTTATGCTTACTTATGGTTATGCTTACGCTCATGTTAAGGTTTATGTCCGTGGCTGGCTGACGAGAAAAAGTGTTTTTGTTTGGCAAAAGGAAAAAATAAAAATGATGATGACAATGGTAAATGTAGAAAGGATTAACAGCCACGCCACCTCCTCCCCAACGTCTACAATAAGACATATCATATTAATCGGTGTGGGAAAGAGCAAAAAAGGAAATGACAAGAGTGGGATTCGAACCCACGCCATCTTACGATGATCAGGAAGCTGTGAAGCTGGGTATTAAGGTGGACCTTAACCTGACGCCTTGGACCAACTCGGCCATCTTGCCTTGTTCATGTAATACCTGTGGTATTTGTTGCATTATCAGCAAGTTGAGATATGCTGAGAGGGTCAGACCCGTACCATCATTGACTTGTTAACCCTCCGGTTTCGATAGTCCAGACTAGTCTGCTGGATAGTACAGCCCGAGTTGCGTGATTCGCGCTAGTTTCACATTAGGATCCACTGCGATTGTATCATCTCTTGGGGTCGGAATCGGATGTTCAATCGTGTTTCGGACTAGGGGTATATTCTACTAGTAGTTTACTGCCAGGTTGACATTTCGTCTGTGGAATATTTATGTTGATGTTGGAGTGTGATGGTCGCACGCATGGTCAGCAACATTACTTCATACTAGTCAATAAGTAGCATCATCTGTCTGGTCTCGTCGCTACCATGCAAGCGACTGCTGTTAGTTAACTAGTACTCTGTAGTGGTCTCACCATAGCCGAAGTCTCGCAGATCTAGTAGTATGTGATTGGTGCAAAAAGCCGAGATATTCTACCGGGATAGGATCAGACGCACCATCTACTGTCAGGTGAGCTTGTTAGTATATCGCTAGTTTAAGGCTGTGTAGTACAGAGTATAAGAAATTCTAAATATACTTCAATAGCTCATTATCTACTCTGAACAGCCTGATTGATTGACGCTAAAAGACATGCTTACCAGGGTCTTCCTTTGCAACGGCTTCGGATGCGGCTCAAGTAGGGCTCGTCTCAGCTTCGTGTATGTATGAGCGGCCATATGAAATTTTGCTCAGTTGAGTGAGGTGATCTTCATCGTCACTGCATTCTGTAGTGATGCACTTCCTCTTTAGTTTCCCTGACTGCTTCACCGTGTTGAGATAGGATTCATTTCTTATTCAGTTCGTATTCACAGTATTGTATAGAGATTCACACAATGTGGCCCGGATTCACGACTAATCGCTGCTCGGTCCTGTAGTATATAAACAATCATTTTTTCCCTCGTCTCGCGTGTTTCTTTCTTTATCATCTCTCTGATCTCACCAAGAAACTATCATCTGCTCGATAAGTCTATCTACTAGTATCTTCACTCGATTCGTTGGGCCTGGCTAGAAAGGGTACAACGAATGACGCGCATCTCTTCTAAGAATGATATATGGTTGCTTGATATGCAGCACATTGTTCACAGTATTGAGCTACTATCTCTGCTTTACTATGGCGTTACCCCCCACCAGCGAATGCCTGGAGTAATCGGTACTACCTTGATCCCACCCCAAGAGGGTCGAATACACATCCAAAGTATTCGCACGTGCAGAGAAGACACTTCAAACCAAGACAACGAAGGGATAGGCATTATAGCCATCAAACCAAGGGCATCTGCTTACAAAGGTCAAGAAAAGTATGTAATCTTCCCATCTAGGGCTGGTGAGACGGCCCGCCAAAAGTGCACATGCTGACGTTTGCTCCAGCACTAGGAAACAGCGTTATGCCGCTTATCTTATTTCTCCACGTATGCCTTTGCCAATAAGGCATCGAAACTGGCTAGACGAATGTTCTAGCTGGTATGCTGTAACCAATGCCATCGCTGCGTCGGTACAACTCATATAATATCCGGTCGGCGAGACTATCAACGCAGCCATACAGAAACACCATAATGGCTGAAAAGGCGTGGTTCTTGGCTGTATCGTCGGTCTCACAACAGCAAAACATATGGGCCAAGCTATCAAATCGACCCTTTTCTAGGAGCCCATACTATCTCCAGGTATCGGCTGACGGGCTGATTTATATGATGCTTGATATCTTCCCATCAAGATATGGCCAGACCCTAACCACGGGCAGTAGCGCGGGACTGGATAACAGAAAAGATCTTTTTGGTCAACTTCGAGCTATTACCGGGCTTTTGAGGAGCACAAACCAGCAGCATTGGTCGACTGCCGTTTGTGGCTGCAAAGCTTATGTAGAATATCTTGATATACATACCCCAGAGCGCAAGGTGAAGAACTTCCTCACGTGGCACAAATAAATATCCTTTGGGACTTCGAGAACAAAACCTGGAGTATAGATTTACTTTAGACCCATGTGAGTAGCAGCCTCGAGCATGCTTAATCTTTCGAGGCGATGCGCTATGGCTTCGCTTTTGAAGCACGAATGCAGGCAGCATTAGCCGACTGTGATTGACTGCACCAAGACTACAAGAGGAACGCACATTCGGGCAGCATTGCAATAATATTCATGGGCCGCGGTCGAAATACATGCCGAATAGAAGAAAACCAAGGACCCTTTGATGTGGCATACACATAACCATATTGCGTGAAACAATGGCGAGATAGTCAAAGTCATGGACTGCTCGGAACAGATTAATGGCAGATTTAATCAACACTTATCAAACCACTCGCAAACTTTGTCAGCTGATGAAAGAATACACGTTCTACTCCAGAGTCATTCTAGACATAGAATCAACGACATTTAGTGTCAAAACATGAATTTGGAATGCGATAGCAGCACCCACAGACGTTTTTATTCCACAACTGAAGACAGACAGTGAGGAGGATGAATGCACTTTTTTTAAGAAGCCTAGTAGTAACCTTACTACACGACACATGGCCTCAGCCTATTTATCCACCCGTTTCCTACTGGTTTACCAAGTATGCTCCTTGGACTCCAAATTTATTCCTCTTCTTCCCTCGTTTAATGAATGGTCAGCCATACCTGGAATGAAGCGATCCGGCACGCTGTAGCCGCCACACTGACCACCACAAGAAGATTATAGAGCATATCGAGGACAATGGGCGAAGCCACTCGCTTGTGTGGATTCTAGTATTAACATCGGATGATGAATAAACATAGTTCTGCACCGCGCGGGCTGATGCAGCGTGTCTGTGGTCGAGACTCCGTTGACGACGGATGAAACTATGCGCATCTCTGGATGTATAGAATCGGTCGGGTCTATAGAACGGATGCTGGGGTGTGTTGATCATCGAGATGACGTGGACAATAAATGAAGTTACTCAATTCCGTAAGAAGGAGTTATGACATTCATGGCTTTGCTTCTTCGGCCAATTATGTTGACATTGACCTCTATGCTACTGTGGTCTTGATATAAATCATTAGGCATTATAAGATCCCCACTTCGATCTGGATCATATATCATACTATTACCACTACCAAAGCAATAAACGAAACTCCCCTCTCATACTCTAGTACTAGTAAATACTTCTAAGCTACTTACCCTACCATACATACAACACCGTCAATTCCTCCCACCACCAAACCAAACCACACCACCTATGTAAGAACTGACCGTACACACCTTACCACCTCCAGACTCATATAGCATAAACTAGCACCGAAATACCATCTCAAGGCAAGATGGCCGAGTTGGTCCAAGGCGTCAGGTTAAGGTCCACCTTAATACCCAGCTTTACAGCTTCCTGATCATCGTAAGATGGCGTGGGTTCGAATCCCACTCTTGTCATATCTTTTTGTTTCTGATCACTTGTAACTAAAGTACAAACTACCATATTATATCGTATCCTTCTTGTTGATTGTATTTTTGTTTTTTTCTTTTGGGGTTTATTGTTCGATGGTTCGTATCTAGATAGATGCATGGGTATGATTATAGTTGCTTATCTCACTGTGCTATTCCAAGTCAACCATCGTCTATCGGTCTACCCTAACACCTGGAATGGTAATGTGTCTTGTGAGCAGAAGGTAACTAAGTAAGTAGGTGATAACTAAGTAGATAGATACAGAACTGCCGTGGGGGCTAGTTAGTTTAGTTAGTTAGTTACTCGCAAGGCTGACTGACATATATCACATACACACCACACCACCACACTACATACACCATGCATCCATCCATCCCAACGAAACACCACCCCATTGGGGTCCAAAATCTATAATTATCCTTCCTTGTTAACTATCCAACAATCCTGAAATCTGATCTACTGCAGCGTACGCAACTAACTAACTCACTCATGTGCCAGTGTCAATGACCCAACAGCCAGCCAGGGTATGAAAGCAAGTAGTAGTAGATACAATAATGCCGCAACAGAAGTAAGTAAGCACAGCGGTTGTTTCAGATATAGTTAGTGCAGAGACGGCAGATGACTTACTGTACTCACAGACCACTAAGTAGCTGCATGATCATCGTTATCGCTGGGTCTATCTAGTTAGTTAGTTGGTTTCAGGTACAGCCTCAGCTGAGTGTCATCTGTAGATGTTGAGATAGTGGGGATGAAAAGAGGGGCAGAGGACAAGACAAGACAAGGATAAGTCTAAGCCACGACTCTTTTTCTTTCTTTCTACTTCTTCGATGGGCTGAAGTTGGCTGCAGCTACGGCTACTATCAATAGATGCGGGCA